ATTATCCTAAATGTTACATCCCTTTTCCCCTAGACACTTGGGGTTGAAACACTCCTCTTCAAAATTAAATATTATTACTTAACACCTCAGCTTATGAACTTCCAGATTTCAGCCTCTGAAACCTGAACCACCTCAGATTTTTTGTTGTCCTGTATCACTCTTGTAAAACTAATTTTGTGAAGACAAAAAGATTAATTGAGAGCTATATTAAAACAAAGAATGAACCTGAGACACAATGCAAGATATAAAACTCTGTTGAAGATGCTGATAAGATGCACTTAGTTTAACGGTCTTGTTGCAAAAACAAAATAAAAAAAAGCATCCTGTTTTCAGAATTCTTTTAAACTCTACAAACAGATTTAGACATGCTTTTAGAAGGGCTAAGTTTTTCTTGCCTCCTGTGAAGAAGCAGACTTCTGCCAGTTAATGGCCATCACCCCTCAGGCACCAGAGTTAACTCTTACTCAGTGCTTTTAAACAGTTACAGATTGTCAGCCTTCACTTTCAGTGTGTCGGATCTTGATGGGACTTTCAGAACTGCTGCTACTTTTTTCAGGTTGCTGATTTAAACTTCATGACAATTGTCCTAACAAACTGCTTTTGAGAGTCTTTTTTTGATAAGGCACAGCAGACAGTCCTTCCAGCAGCTGTGCAGGAACCATTTCCGCTGTCCTCCTGGTCAAATATTTAAGTTCACTGTCAGGGCTCCAGCATCCATCAATGTGAGCAACTCTTTTGAATAGACTGGTTGGGGCCATTAGTAAGTGAAGTCATGCAAAGCCAGTGTTTTTATTACCAGTTTCTGATTTTGTTAATCCTGTAATGATTACTTTTTACTCCCCCCACCCCCTCATTTGGTGGATTTACTATTCAACACTCTCACCCTTACAACACTACTGTTCTGGCACTGTTCATTTCCTCACAGTCAAAAGATAGCGTGAAATGTGGTTTCAGAATGAAAAATCTCCATCTTCTGAACCACTCAGCTTCAAGCAAAAAATAGTTCCAATCCTTTCTCTAACACAAGGGCAAGGCTTTTACAATATTGGAAGATTTTATGTTTTTAACTTTTAAGAAGCAATCCATAGAATGCAGTTGTTAAGTAAGACATGGTACATCTCCCCACCCACATACAGTACAGTGTGTCAGAAAAAAATAAAACATGTACAATTTGGGCACTGGAGGTGGTTTCCTGGCAAATGTCCCTAAATTGCCCTGAAACAGAAAATGATGTATAGTCATATTAGGAAGGCAGTGCATTCTCTGTGGTTGGGTCACAGGGTCAGACAAGATAATTCACTGCCAATTCGACCTAGACACCTGACTGAGCATTTGTATCTGGGCTTGTTGAAAAGGACTAAGAGTTCAGAACATCATCAGTCTGGAGCTAGTGATCCAGTCTCTGACAGTTGTCTGATCTGTGTAAACAGAACAGGCTGTTGTATGATCAACCTAGAGATCTGTTGGTTTTAAAAAATGTTTCCAATTACATATGTGCTTGTGTGTGTCTTTAAAAGCTAAAACTGAGAACATTTATTTTGGAAGAGAAGGATCTACAAGACAAAAATCCATTTTCTCTCAGTGTCATATGCAGGAGCAGTACCGTTAAACTGCAGTCTTATCAAAATCTTAGGTTCAGAGGCTCTCAGCTGAAATGTATTGTAATCTAGGACTAAACAAAAACATTGAGAACTACAAACAGCAGCATGGTAATCTCTTTGGTGTAACTCATACTGTGTATTAATTAGGCCATCCTCCAGGTGAAAATTTTAGACTGTATCATATGTTTTTTTTTACAGTGAGAGGAAACTTTAATGTTATGTTGATATAATTAAATATGAATGCAGTGTGTAATACTGTCATGGATAAAGTTCAGAAAAAACTATTGACTACTTCCTCTTTAAGCCATGATCTACAAAAATCCTGAGCTTGCTGCCCACCAGTTCTACCCTGTAGTTGGGCAGACTGGGGCAAAATGAAAATTGACTTTTTTGTCCTCATCTTGACATTAAAGTCCTGCTGTTCCTGTCTTCATGATCCACACAGTGTCATCTTCACTGCCAGAATAATATGGAGTCTATAGTAGCACACTCTACGAAAAAGTTGAAAACGTTTCTCAGATGGATCACAGACAGGAAGAAATGAAAAATACAGAAAATATTGCTTGCATGTTTTGTTATTTTTTCTCTGCTTTTAATTACAAACCAAGACAGAATGTGTGGCACATTTTTACAATTTCATACTCCTCAACTTTTCCACTTTTTTCCAGGAATGAATGCCAGTAAGCCCCATAATGAACAGAAGTGAAAAAACAGATTCATGGTCTTCAACTTCTCTCTGGGCATTATTGGCACAGTGGCTCACAGCACACTAACAGTATATTTTAACATTTTTTTAAAACAGTATTTTTCCATTTTTCAGTGGTTGTCTCATTCTTATACTGTGCCTTTAATTTCATTTCCTTTGCCACAGCAGCTTTGTCCTTTATTTTCATTTACTCTGCCGTTGGAACTGAACTCCAGCCATCTTTCATGAGGCCCCTTTCCTCCCACTCTGCGCAGCACCCGAGTTTTTAAGGCTGCTTAGGCCAGTCTGGTGTTTTGAGGAAGTGTGTGTATAATTGGGGGAGGGGCAGATCACAGTGTGATTCCTCAAGAATGATAGCGAAAGCACTGTTGTGTGTGTGAGAGTCATTTTAAGACGTGTGATTTACATGAAACACCCATGACCTCACAGGACTTCCCCCAAGCTTTCCGTGTCCATCGAGACTTCCCCTTGTGGCTGCTAAGACAACAAGGGGATTCTGATCTTACCCACAATGAGAAGGAATTATTTTACAGTTTAAAAATAAATATTTATTTAGAAAAAAACATAGACACAGGCACAACGCAACATATCAGAAATGTACACACAATTAGGAGAACTCTTGACAGTTGAAACACTTGTATAAAATCACAGGGGATCTGGCTTCTACAGTGAAAAACTTGCTATGACATGCATCTCAAACAAACAAAAAACAATCAGGATTTTAAATGCACTTGTTGTTTACTCCTTCAGCTCAGTCTGTAGAGCTTCAGTTTGCTAGAACTGTCTGGCACCAGCTTGGTGGAAAGCGACTGTAAAATAACATTCGCATCATCCAGATGGGTGCTGTGAAGCACTTTGAGTGGTGTGTCCAGAAAAACACTATATACAGTAAGTGTGATTAATTATTATTATTATTATTATTATAACAGGTTTCAAAATCAATGACTGTGTGGATCAAATTGTTTTATTGAATTTGAAAACCTTTAGCATTAGCAAAACAAATAGACACCCTCCAGATTTACAATAATAAATAGGCTTTTAGTGTATGATCCACTAAGACAATCCTGGCAAAGTGCTGGAAAAAAAAATGATTTGGACTGCTCAGCAATCACAGGTGCTCTGACCCAAAGAAAGTGTTTAAACGACTGAGCTACAGTTCTTATTTAGAGTCCCTGTGCACAACGGGTTCTTGAATTGCACAATCTGCCAACAGAAAAACTGAACTTCATAACAGCCCTATCAAAAGCTTAGCTTAACAAGTGCTTTTTAAAACCATCTTCTTAACTTGCTCCACAAAAAAGTAACAATAGCTATGATATTTGGAAAAAAGTCTGTTACCGTACCAAATATGCCTCATTCCATTACATGGAATGTATATTTCACTTATTCTTTATCATCCAGGATATCAAATCTCACAACAGGGAATAAAGTCAGAAAATAATGTTAATATTGTTTCATATGCCCTAGACATGTATTAGACTGGCAAAGAGATACCAAAATATTTAATTGCTAATCTCAATATAATTATCACTACATTGTGCAGGTATTTTCAAATACATTCTTTCAATTCCACAATTCCAATTGTTTCTTATACCTACAGACATCATAGTTCATTTTTGCTTCTATTCTGTTTTTATCTATAGAAGCTGCAATGTGCGATAGCAAGTTCTAAAAATCACATTTGTTGTAACTTTAACCAAGAATAAAGTGGTCTTGCCTGAAACTAGCCACAAGCTTTCAAAACTGCTAGCACTGTTATGCAAATCTTTAAATTGTATTTAGAGTGATAGATGTCTGCCTTACAAACAGGCACTTCTCTGTAGTGATCTATCAAAATGTATCCAGCCGGCCCCTCAGTTCAGTCACTCAGACAAAAAGAGTGGAAGAGAGAGACAGCTCGCTTTTTAGTCCAGCTTTGCCTACACAGTTTACAGCTGCAGCTGTGACTCAGTCTAGCACTGTGGAGAGCAAAGTGCACAGTGCTTTGTAGGTCCTTCGTATCGTTACTGTTGTCCTTGAACTTTTAACATTCCAGCCCAGGGAAAAGGGTACCTTCCAAGTTTTTCTTCAGTTTTTTTGTGGTTTATCCATCTTCATTTTTGCCCCTTCAAAGGATACTAGACGGTGGGCGGATTTGCGTTGGCCAGTTTGTATGATCCTCTCATTCTGGCTTGCCTTAAATGGTGGAGTGCAAGACCTATGGTAGTTAACATGATAATAGAGCCGCCTGCAGCGATTAGCGCATTGTAGAGTGGAGGAGTCTGTGGAGCGCTGTATTTCTCTGGAAAGAAAAAACAAATCCATATTAATACATAAGAGGTCGGAAGAACAATGGCATGACAATAAAGGAAACTGGATAAAACATGTTGTCTTTAAGCATAATTAGTTCAGATTATCATAGAATAAGCCAAATAGAATATAAACCACAAGGTAAAAAACAAACAAAAAAGGTCCTAACTTTTGCCGTAAAATACTTGGCATTTTCCTGTTTTGGTGTGTTGGGAGCTGGCAGGAGCTCCTCAGCTCTTCATCACCTCCTTGATGTAGATGCATGCAGCGACCTGTCATCTGATGGCTAGTTGTGCTGTGAAGTCACTCACCCACACGGATGATGAAGATCTCGGTCTCGTAGCCCAGGTCATTGGAGACATTGACCTCGTAGAGGCCTGTGTCATTCGTGGTGAGGTTGTAGAGTTCAAACGTCCCGCTCGGAGAGTACAGTACAGTACCATTCTCAACTTTCCTCAGGACGATGGCGGGGGGCGGGTTGCTGATGGTCTTGCACAAAATCGTGATGTTTTGTCCCTCTAAGACCTGTGTGGATGGGTATACAGAGACCGTGGTGTTCCTTGGTGGAGCTGCAAGAAACAGGCCCAGTGAGTGTGCTGATCTTTCCAAGGAGGAACAACAAAACCAACCCTCAGCAGCACAGCAAAGTCCAGCTTTCACCTCCACTGCTTAAGGAAACACCAACGGATTACTTTGTGACATGCTGCCCATATAATGGCAGAACATTATGTTTTGTAGTGCTTGTTTTTATTTGCTGCATGTACAGGCAGGTCTTTTCCAAAAGAGCATGGAAAGATATATTTTCTGTTAATGGATTGCTTCTTGCTAACATAAAGTGAAAAATATGGCCCTAAATGAATACATGCAGATACTTAATTCTGAATGTTTATTCCAGACAAGTGCCATGATACAATATCTGAATTAGGATAGGCATATGTGATCCATAAATACAGTAGGGTCTCAAACTTAATATTCAGAAATTTAAGTTTGCTTATTCGCATTTCAGTCTGCTAATACTGTCTTGGGTGGAAGAAGAGCAGAGTGGGATGAAACTGAGCTGAAGAAGTTAAGTGTAACCTTCTAATTAGCTGCACAACAGACTAAGATTGTGAGACGAACCTACAGTACCTAGTGAGTAGGCCTTTCCCCTTTTCAAGTACGCACTACCCAGCACCTGCATCTCAACATGGTCTTGTTTTTGTATTCAAACAGATGCAACCAGTTTTGCTTCGGCTGTAAGGTGTGCTAATAATGGGGGTAGAGAGAGAAAGTGCAGATATCTGCTGGACGCAGAGTAGGGATTAATGTTGTTTATTTCAGCTGATTAGTATAAGTTTGTGATAACTGTTCTTAAAGCTAATGTATTAGTACTTTAATTATCATAAAAGAGAGGGTTAATTATGCCTTTTAACCATACATAATGTAGTATATTATGCAACAGTATAGGGGTAGACTTGGTTATATATGAATTTGGCTTATGAATGTCGAGACCCTACTGTATATCTATTTAATTTTTGTATATAGGCATGTATGTCAAATGTATAATTTTAGTAACAGTATTATGTTCAGGATTTATCATTATTATTTCATAATTTAATTTATCATTGATCATTTAATAAACACCACCTTGTGTGATGTATGAAACTGCATATTGGGAATATGGGTTTTCATGACATAATGATTATTTTGTTACAGTGTTTCGGTTGGTAGATTAAAAGCAGAACTGTGATGACACATTTTTCCATTGCAAAACACGTCTTGAATGATCTCAGCAAAAAGAGAAGTGAAAGCTAGACAACATTTTCAGCAGTGGTACACTCCCATTCCAATTACAAAGTACTAAACTCACCATTAACAGAAATCTTAACGCTGGCTTTCTCGCTCCCAAACTCGTTCACAGCTTCACACTCATACAGGCCAGTGTCTTCCAGTCGTGCTGAGCTCAGGGTAAAAGAGCCATCGCTGGACTCCAGGAG